AGCAATGCTTGTTCCTGTCAGGGTTCAGCATTATGAGGACTGTGTGTAGATGACCCGAAGAGTAATATTGTTGGCAATAATTGGGACTTTGTTTTAAATACTATTGCCAAACAACTTGCCTAACTTTACCATAGCTCTTTATACAGTGTTACTCTATAGTGTTCTAACTTGAAGTCAATATTAAATGAATCTTAATGACTCGTTTGTGGTCATCTCCACAGGTTTCTGCTCATCCTGATAAAACTGTAGATGAAGAACTGATGGGTTCAGTATCCTCGCTTCCTGAAACCGAGGTGAACAGCTATCTGACTTTTAAATCTTTGTAATTTGTCTGACAGATATTTTAGTGGTCATCGGTTTTTGAGAGCGTAGACACAGTCCCAGCAATGCTTGTTCCTGTCAGGGTTCAGCATTATGAGGACTGTGTGTAGATGACCCGAAGAGTAATATTGTTGGCAATAATTGGGACTTTGTTTTAAATACTATTGCCAAACAACTTGCCTAACTTTACCATAGCTCTTTATACAGTGTTACTCTATAGTGTTGTAACTTGAAGTCAATATTAAATGAATCTTAATGACTCATTTGTGGTCATCTCCACAGGTTTCTGCTCATCCTGATAAAACTGCAGATGAAGAACCGATGGGATCAGTATCCTTGTCTCCTGAACCACAGGTGAACAGCTGTCCGACTTGGAAATCTTTCTAATTTGTCTGACAGGCATCTTAGTGGACATGTGTTTTTGGGAGAGTAGACACAGTCCCAGCAATGCTTGTTCCTTTCAGGGGACAGCATTATGAGGGCTTTGTGTGTCGATATCCCGCAGTGTAATGTTTTTGGCAGCCTGCTTTAAATTTTTTCTCCACCTTTTCTTTGCAATTTGTCTGGCTTAATCATAGATTTTTACACAATGTTACCAAAGTTAGGGAACAAGAGTCCCAGAACTGCATAGTTTGTGTTCTCACATGCCTAGAAATTGCCTACAAAATTATCACTGAATGCTTTCAGTGATTTTTTTTACAAATTGAAAGGCATCCCTCAATATTCATTTTCTGAAATTAAAAACCCTTCACATCAGAATTGCGCTCTTACTTTTTTAATGTTGCAATATTTTTCCTACAGAAATGCAACCATGTTGTACTGCCCTCATCATTTTCAAGCATTGAAAAATGCACACATTGCTTTGGACCTTTTGCTCCCCTCAAGTGGAATGGTCTGAAATGTAAAGGTGAGTTTTCCTTGTGTTGTTATTACTCCTTTAGTATATTCAAGTGGATTAGGATTGGATTTGTAAATGACTCTTAAATTTTAACATGTATAGATCTTGTTATTCAGATGTAATGGATGAACAAAAATGTCATGTTTATGATTAGTTTTATCTACTGGAATCATAGATGTTATTTCTACTACTTGTGAATATATCTAAATTATGACTGCTTATACAAAGAACTTACTGTTTAATAAATATGACCATAAAAACCTTAACTTTACCCTTAACTTTTTTCAGACTGTTCTTCAATATGGCACAACATCTGCTATGAAAAGATCGACAGGATTGATTTTTCACCATCTTCATGGGTAGGTGTCTTTAGTTCTCCTTTTGGTACTTTTTAAAAAGCAATACTTGAACAATTTCTTTCTTTTTAAGGTTTCTAATGACTCATCTTCAGCTGATGTTTCAGACAAAGAATACATACCTGACTCTGCCAGTTACTCAGATAGTTCAGCGGAACTCTCAATAGATGATTCCACTTATTTCAAAAAGACTGTTTTTGATCCTTGTTTCATTGGACCTTTGCTAGACTGTCAAAAGAGTGATGGTGCAGATAATGACTTGGCTGAAGGTCTTATTTCTGAAAGTGAAGACAGTGCCAAAAAGGTTGTTCAGGAACAGATGAAAAGGTCTTCTGAAAATAAAAACACTCTTGTCATGGTTCAGGGTTTGGTGAGGTGAGATGAGACGCAGGCAGCCAGGATGAAGGTGAAAATGATGAATTTAATGACAAACCAGGAGAAACAACTGAAAATCACTGGCAGCACAGGAACAGACACAGACGTGAGAGGGACACGACGGCACAGGGAAACAGTTACAAATGACGAGGATCTGACAACGAACACAGACAACAGGTGGGGCTAAATACACACAGGGTAATCAGGGGGATACGACACACCTGGGGAGCAATCAACAGGGAGGACAGAGACTCAGGGAACAGGACTACACAGGGAAAACAGGACTGAACACAGAAGAACTCAAAAATAAACACACAGAAACACAGATCACGACAACTCTTGATGTTCAAACTGAAGGGAGATCTGTGGAGCCACTCATCAGATCTGAAACTGTTGAAAGCATCCAGTCTACAAACATATCATCATCAAGAGATAAAAAAACTACTGCTTTGTTTGTGGCAAGCCCCAGTCTAAGATTGCTCGACACTTAAAAGTCCATGAGAAGACAAATGCTGAAGTCGCTCAAGCTTTGGCACAACCAAAAGCCTCAAAACTGCGAAAAAAAATACTCGGACAGTTGCGAAATAAGGGAAACTCTACTCACAATAAAGAGGTTTACAAAAGTGGCAGTGGACTGCTAAAAATCAAACGTAAACCCAAGCTGAAGTATAACATAAACCAGTATGTTCACTGCATGTTTTGCCAGGGATTGTTCCTTCGGAATCACCTTTGGCGGCATGCTCGTAAATGTACATCCAAACCAAGAACAACTGAAGAGACAGGACCAAAAAAGGTGTTGAGCTTGGCCTTAATGGTGGATTCTGGACTATGTCAACAAATATCCCAAGGTGTTTTTAAGCTACTAACAGTGATGAAAGATGATGAAGTGTCTGCTGCAGTGCGAAGTGACTTTTACATTCTACAACTTGCACAATCATTTTTCAATAAACATGGTCAAGATCCCTCCAAGCATGAATATATCCGACAAAAAATTCGTGAAGTTGGAAGGCTTCTGCTAATCCTGAGGAATGAGTTTTCTATGTACAACATTGAAGATGCTGTCAGGCCCTCAAACTTCCATGTACTTGTTCAAGCAGTCAAGAGAGTATCTGGCTTTGATGAAGAAAGTCATTCATATGAAACTCCTAGCCTTGCTCTGAAATTAGGACACTCGTTGCACAAGATCAGTGACTTTATATGCTGCACAGCTTTAGTATCAGGGAATGATGAGCTTGAAAAGTCATGTCAGGCTTTCAAAACACTTTATTTATCAAAGTGGTCAGAACTTGTGTCTCACACAGCTTTAACAACCTTGAGTGACAAGCGCTTTAACAAACCTTCCACGCTTCCCTTCACTGAGGATGTTCAGCGTCTTCACCAGCATTTGGAAAAGGTTGCAA